TTTACAAGTTAATGTATATTTTTATTCGTCTGAGCTAACTGGTACTCCGAAAATATCACTGATTTGAAATGTGAATCCTGCTTCTTTTGTTTACCTTTGCTTTGAATAACAATATTGCATATGCTACTTGCGGCTCCAATTGTTATTAGTGAATGATGAGCTCTGGAATTTGTGAATTTGGTTGATCCAGATGGCTCTAAGAGGTGTTTGGCAGCTAAAGAAGCTAGTAGTCAGCTATTGCAATTGGGGTGGCAGTAGCAGGGGAATAAGGTAAAGGTTAACGTAAGCTTTCTCTTTTTATTTGGCCCTTTACATTAATCAGAATCATAATGAGACTGTTTCTTCTGCGCATCTTCGAATACCATGATGAATGAAGTGAAAGAGGATATAGGTACAACTTAAACTTTTAGAAAATCAAGGCTTTAAATCGACATATCTAAGAAAAGTGGCAATTGCAAATCTTGTAGTGAATTTTAGAAGCACAAAACTGACAGTTACTCTGGTAAAAACTAAAGAGGAAAAAGAAAGGTTTATGTATATATTATTCATATGTGATAAGATATCTTTATGGATAATTATTCCACCATTACAAATTTAAAGAGTATGTATGTTTATGCATCTCAAATTAATAACATCTTCCAAACTTTGTTCTTCATAATTTTTAGTGCTAGTGAAATTTGGTCAACTGATAGGATGAATGAACAATGTTATTTCTTTGATGAGTGGGATGGATTGAGTATTATAATGATATGAGTCTGACTTTCTTTTGAAGTTCTTTTTCAAACCTTATCGGAATGTTAACACAATATAGGTATAAGAAGAAAGTTTTTCCCCATGTTGCAATCAGTCAAGTAGTATTCTCACCGCATATATTGTGATTTGTGGCAAGTGTATCTGTCTAGAAATTTGATGTATTGCTGCTGTGCCGTAGTGCAATTTTACTTATGGAAGTGTTCAGTCTATTTAAGGATTTAAACATGTATTTGTTAGAGGAAAAGATTGAGACTTATCAAAATGGGATAACAATTATTAATCAGACTTTAGCAGAAAAAAGAGGAAATAGGATGGGCTGCGGATTTCCGGATGACTGAGGTAGAGGAATATATATAACAAAATAGTCCTATGGCATTTGTTAAGGTATGCATCTACTATTTCAGGGCATTCATGGAATCTGAATTGCCAGCATTCAAGGAGAAAAATCCGCAGCTTGAGGTGGTCACTGAGCTCAATCGTGGTCAGCATCCTTTCTTGAAGGGATTATACAGTAAGACTTTCTTCCAGTTTCCTTCAATTCCCTGCTGAAAATTTTTGTAATTTTTTTCTTTAAGTATGCAGGGGATGGGTATGAATGACCCCTATAACTAGTAATTAGTTGCATTACGACTTATTTTGTTACTAGAATCTTTGTAATAGGCATGTGTCTTGTTGGTGATGGTTGTTAAGTTGGTGATTCGGTTATACTAGGATGGAGTGGACTCTGCTGAAATTTTCATGGATTGGTTAGACCAGCTCAATGGGTTAAGCATAATTACCCAGAGTCATGGTTTTCTAGTCGAGCAACAACAACAACAACCCGGTGTAATCCCTTTGTGGGTGCAGGAGAGGTAGAATGTGCATACCTTACTAAGGTAGAGAGGGTGTTTAGATATACTCTCGGCTTATAAGAATACAAGCAATTAATAATAATACTAATAATAATAAACTAAAATAAAAGTAAAAAGAAAACAATAATTAAAAAAAATAGTAATCACGATATGCCAAACAACGATACACTAATCGAGATATAAGAAACAACACATAGTAACAAATCGAAGGACAAACAACTATAAGCAATACCACGCCAAAATTAAAAGCAAGGTAACACATTGCTACCCTAATTCGTGTCCTCACACCTTCTATACAAGGCCTGATCATCGATTGCATTTACCGTATGCCATATTCTATCTAATCACCTCTTCCCGCATCTTCATGATCTACCTCTACCTTTCCTAAAATCATCCATATCCAACCTCTCCCACGTCTCCACCTTTGGAAGCGCTGGTCGTACTAAATCGCGTACCAGCCGCTCAGCCCAACTGTCTCACGCATCTTTTCTCCATCCAGCTCTCCCTTCTTAGCTCGGATATCGTCATTCCCTAATCTCTCCCTCTAGCATGCCCATACATCCTGATAACATTCTCGTTTACGCAACTTCATTTACCGGACTGTGAGAGTTGCTTGACTAGCTAACACTCGCCATACAATATAGTCGGTCTAACCACCCATGTTTATAAAATTGTTGTTAAGTTTGTTGGCACCTTAACGCATCACCCAGAAGACTCCAATGCTAATCTCCATCTCATCCAACTGCACCCAGATACGTGAAGCTGACATATCTTGTTGATCTCACCATTTCTTGAAGTGCATGCTTGAAACTTCCTCCCTTATGGATAACTGTGTGTCCAACATCACTCTCATCGGCCTCGTCTGCCACGTCGCTAAATTTGCGCTAAATATTACATCTTGGTCTGCTTTCGACCTTACCACTTTAGCTTCAAGGTTTGTGCCCAAACCTCCGAGCTTGATTTCACGCGGCCGAGTCTCGTCACCAAAACTATATCATCGGCGAATAACATGTACCATGGCACCTCACACCAGAATTCCTCGGCGTCTATGTATCCATTTGTAAATAAAACACCCCGGACCAAAAGCTTGCTGCCTCTGAATCCTCTTTATCTCTCCGTGACGGTTTACCACCTCTCACATTGTTAAGGGAGCCACATATGCCCTTTCTAGAGTAATCTTCCCCTGCATCAGATAGTCCCTACTCTTCATATATCCCTATTCATTTTGGATTTCCACCTTATGGACCTCAGATATTTATTAACCTGACATAGCTTTCCTTGCTACTGAATCTATGTATTCATTCCTTTAATAGTGCACTTGAGCCACATAGATCCCTCTTAGGCTCTGCTCAGTTATTTACAATAGCCCGTGCTCTACTCTGCCTAAGCATCTACTCTGCCTAAGCACCATTAAAATGTTTAAACTTGGATCAGCTTATCAAATATATCACAGGACAGCATAACCAGCTTTCCTCTTTAAGTCATCCAGTCAGATGGGTCCCCAACAGGTGGGTGGAGGTGTAGGTCCTTAGGAAGGACAGATCGCTATAATGTGCATAACAAAGGCCAAATTCTTCATATCTAGAGATGACGAGAAGGATGCAACAATCAGACATTAAGCAATGGAGTAACAAAGGCATAAGATGGCGTGAATTTTTTGCATTCTGAGATGGATGATGTGTCCTTTCTTTTTGCACATTTATGAACATTATGCTAAAGTATAAGACACTAAGGAAAATGGCAGTCAGGTCGTTGAGAGATAACCACGGAAGTAGTTGAGATAACGTACCTGGTTTTTGCTTTTCTCTACCCCAGCACCACCTTCTCCATTTTAACCTTTTAAGTTTTTTCTTTTGGCCACTTAGGGCTACAAGTGAGCAGACAGATTTTGTTATTGAAGAAGTGTCAAATATTATGTGTCATATTGAACACATTTTCCACCTCGCAACCCTGCCCAAAAGTAGAACAAATGCCTGCTGCACTAGACATGATATTCCTAATTATGCGTTGTATATTTGTTGTATCAGTTTATTCAAAAAACTAGTTGTTTTTCCTGTAATTTCTTTTCACGGGTGTGTACTGATTTACTTTTCAATTAAGAGAACAAGAATGAGCGGGTTGTATGTGTGAAAAATTCAAGTCAAGACGAAGTACTTGAAGCAGCAACCAAGTTAAGGAATTCGCTTGGCAGAAAGGTGGTGAAGCTGAAGACTCGGCATGTCACGAAACAACCTAGCGTTCAAGGTACATGGTCAACAGCATTGGAGTTATAAGCCAGAAGAAAAAAACTGCAATGCAGGTGTTTTCTGACTTGTTAGTTCTTATGATTTGGAATTGTACGTCAATTAGGTATAGTCTTTTGAACAAAAGATATATGGATTATGTGGTCTGCTTGTATGAGAAGGTAAGACATTTTTCAATTGGTAATGCATTCGATAATGTAATAATTTACTCGTAGTGATAATTTTGGAAGCGTGCTATGCTATGTAAGTGCATACACTCGATATTATATAACTTTTAGTCGGTAATGAGCATTTAACTTTTAGTGGTCGTTTGGTAGAGTGTATAAGAATAATGATGAATAAGGTGTATTGATAATGCTTGCATTGGTAATCTTATCCACATGGTTTGCGCGTGCAACAACCTGAACGTGTTCACCTGTAAAAACTTTTTCCTAATTTTCGTTCAAGTGGCAAGTGTCAAAATTGTGTATATATATTTATAATTTCAGAAGAATTTTGGTTTTTTTAAAGCTAGGAGTGAACCATGTATTAAGCCTTTCAAAATCTAAACTTTAACAGACACAGAATATTTTAGTTAAGATGTTTTTCTTTAAAACAAATGAGACGTATCACGATCCTATTGGTGTGGGACATATATATCAAACATAAAAGTGGTGTGTATTATGTTAGATAATTATATATTAAGCCTTACAGAAACTAAACTTAAAAGAACATAATATTTCCAAAGGCAATGAATGCTTATTAATGATGGGCAAAGCCACCGTAAGCGATGGGTGGTTTAGTGTTGCCTTCTTCGTCAAGTATGTGGTGTAAAAGTTTAAATGTCGAGTATCGCGGGTGTATATGCCATTTGCGCGCACTTTAACACAATTCACCAAATTCCTGATTTCGCCCCACTCGACTCATTTTGGAGCCTTGCCTTATGACTTAAAAAGAAAATTTGCACACTCTTTGCTAAATTTCTAGTTCTAATAACCTAAACAAATTGCACACTCTTTGTTAAATCTCTAGCTCTACCACTCGACAAATTTGCCACACTCTTTACTAAAATTCATGTCTTCGCCACTCAACAACAATAATACGACAACCAAAGCAAGGAGAACAAACTACTACCCCAATAGATTAATTGAAAGTGCAAAAAATTAGCAAGAGGTGGAGGTGCAGGGAATCCAGACCCCGTGCCTCGCATCACGAACGAGCGCTCTACCATATGAGCTACACCCCCAGATGTTCTTTGAATTGAGCAAAAGAAATAAATAATTATTATTTCAATCAGCCTCTACACTAGTATTTTCCCCTCCTATTTAAATAGGTGTGAATAAATATGATTTTTGATGAAATAATTTAGTTTTTATACTGAGGCTTCACTTACGTGTTTCATTAATATAATATCATTTTGATTAAGTAAATAACTGAGGTAAAAATATATCCTAATTAATCTTGGTTAAATGATAGAACTGGTAAAAACATATTATGATGTATTTATTTAATAAATTTATAAAAAATGAGTTTAAGTTTTTATGTAATTAAAGTGCAAAAATATTTACATAATTAGATTATTTAAGTTTCTATTTGTGTACGGGTGAAAATCGTTTTCACCCCCCAACTTTGCTTTAAAAATCAAATTTTACTCGGCTTTGAGCGATAGACGTTTTCTTATAGCTGTCACAATTGAGCTTTCTTCAAAATATACATTTCTTTCCTCCGATCATCCATGTACATAATACTTTTTATATTATATATAATATTTATTTTTAAATGTAGATATTTATAATTTCTTATTTAAATTCACTAGCATTATAAGTAGAACAATTCTTTTATGAATTTATCACAAAATCTAATGCTATTTAGTATTTTTCTAATTATTGCTATTAAAATATTATATGCATTAAATATGTATATATGTATGTGCATATGTGCACATTTACGTTTTACTGCTTTTTGCTTTATCCTGTTAATACATATAAATAAATAAAATTTAATTGTTATTAACGTAATATTTCACATCATAAATAAATAATTTTTAAATTTATTTTATTTTATTATTTTTTGTATTTCATACATTGAACTATATTTATAAAATTATGCCTTTTATTTTCCTTGTATAAATAAATATTAAATTTTAAATTATTATTAGTAAAATTATTTTTATTATGTTAATTTACTTCATTATGAAACGTCATTAAATTATATATTCAATTAGTAATTTTTTTATTTTATCTTTTCCCAAAGTTAATATTTATTTAAAAGAAGACAAAGTTGATAATGTAAGGAGTAAAACGGATATTTTAAAAAATCGATTAAAATAAATGGAGAGAATATACATTGTTGGCGGAGGGAGTTTGATTTTTAAAAGCAAATTTAAAGGATTAGAAGCGATTTTCACCGTTGCGCATGTTTACATGATTCATAACTTTTGAATAAGTCTTCCATGATAGGACAAAGGAAATTTCCAATTGATTGATATCTTGCTCATCTCTAACCTTGCCTTTCTTGGTCAAGTCATCTAAAACAAACAAAAAATTTGCCCCATTTCTGTACATTCCCAGAAAATGATGACTAATTTCATTTTTACCATACATGTATGGAGTAAGCTACTGGATACTAGTATAGTTTTCTGGGATCTTTTTTTTGGGGAGATAACTTTCTCTCGTTTATCTCACGGTGGCCACAATCATGGAGAAAATTGCGGGGGAGGGGGAGAGGGAGAATTGGATGCAGAGGACACCTAAAATTCCTATATAAACCATGTAGCTAGGTTTACAACATCAGCAAACAATAGTTTTAGAAAAGAAAGAACAATTATATAACAATAATTTTTAAAGAAGGTACACTACTTGACTGAGGTTGAAGGATATATATAGAGAATATTAAGTTTTGGTTATGGGTGCTTTATGTGGTAGTTGTGGCCATTCAATGGCAGAGGTAAGTGTGTGAAGGTTCAATTGAATCCCTATCGTTCAAATATTATATGTATCGTACAAATAAGGTAAAAACGAACCTTTATGTATATATATAAGCTGTTAAATTTTAGCACGGTGTTAGGGCAATGTTAAGGACATTGAAAACATGGTTTAAACATCCCATAGATTGAAGCTCCCATATACTGAGTATAATTATATTATGAGATATAATTTATATGATTATCATTAAAAACAAGTTTTAAATTTTATGTTGTTTTTATTTCCTTTTGGATTTGTTTGAGATTGTCCGAATGAGTGATCAAAAACTTTTGAGCACAGCTGCTCCCATGGGCAAACCTTTAAGGTGAAAAATCAAAACTAGAAGTTTTGCTCATGAAACAAGCGAGGTCAAGTCTCAAGATCGGCAACCTCCTTACATTATTGTAAAAAAAAATCATTCATCTTATTATGATTTATTTAAGCCACTAATTTCTTTGAGCCGCACCGTTCCTTGATAGTTATAATTGCATTCACTCATCATTCAAATTCATAAGTTCTTTTGAAACTACCCTTTTCCTTAGGATTACTGGCTCCGCCACTGTGCCAAACATGTGTTGGGAGGAAGAGAGAAGTGCTCTCTTAGAGCTACAAGCAAACATGATGAGTTCAAATGGGGGGCACTTGGCCCTTTGGGCAGACTATAATGAGACTGGTTTCTTGGATTGTTGTTCTTGGCATTGGGTAAGATGCAATTTAGCAACAGGTCGAGTGATAGAACTCAACCTCAAAACAGCAAGGCAAGGATCAAAGGATGGTTGGAGTTTTAATGCCTCTCTGTTTCTTCCATTCAAATCACTACAAGTTCTTGTATTGTCTGAAAATTTTATTGCAGGGTGGAACAAAAATGAAGGTTGATCTCCTCTTTCATCTTTTTTCACTAATCATCTAGGATATTTGGAATTCGGTGGTTTGACTAATCCAGTATTGTCAGTAGTTTATAAGACCTCGAATTTCTGCTTAACAGAGTTCCACTATCGGCTCTAGTTGAGAAGTTGAGTCACCTTCAAAAATAGAATTGTAAAAATGAGATAGTCTTGTGAAATAAAAACACCATACATAAGTAAGTAGTATCTAGAAACTAGAATAGAATCCAAAGAAGTTAAAGGAAACAAAAATTGAGTAGATTGCAGATCAGTTGTCATTGCCAGAGATCACTAGCTGGTCAGTGTTGTGTGTGTGTGTGTGTGGGGGGGGTATGAGAGTGTTCATTTGGTGTTCTCGGTCTCAGTGCAACCTTGCTTGGTCAATAAGAGGGTTAAGGCAGCGAGTTCTCGTCCACACTCAAGTCTGACTTTGATCATCATCTGCTTTCTGAAAGATGGATTTGACTTTGGTGGCTCACCATGTGAAAGATGAGGGAATACGATGGACGCAGAACCTTAAAAGTCTAGTTCCCCGCATAAGGCCAATTTAAGGAGAAAACACTCGCTACTAAGAAACTTTTCATTCCCTAATCTCTCCATCGCCCTATAATTATCGTGGTAAGATTTTAATGATATGGAAGTTGGGTGTCTAGTTGGAGCATGTCTATTGAAAGCACATAGAAGCACCAAACTCAAACCTGCAGTTTAAGGATTGGGAATATCACCCACTCTACCACATCCTTGAGTGGTTTTTTTGCCCCAACTGGATGAGCGACCTAAGAACGCGGTAACACACACTCTCTATATATATACATACATATACATATATTAACATGTAAGTTTTTTTCTTCTGATTTTGTTTTCCAGGGTTTGACAAACTCTCACATTTGACCAACCTCAAAGTACTCGATTTGGAGCATAATTATCTTCCCTTTCCAAATGTTTTATCACATTTTGTGTTAGTTCATCTCTTGAGGAATTAAGACTTAATCTTCGCTCGAGCGGACAAATGGGTGCAATAGAATTTCGTTCGTCGAAAAATTACTCTATGCCTATAGGTAAAAAAAATACTACTACTTTTTGATGTGTGTGTGTTTGTGTATATATATATATATATATATAAAAGTCGAGTGCCCAGGAAGCTCATGCTCTCTGTCTACAGGTGGAGGTAAGATGCAACGTACGTTACACCAGCCACAGGCTTGACTTTGTGGGATTACGTATTTGAGTTGTTATTGTTGTATATATATATATATATAAACCGTTGCATCTCTATATAAAAATTGTGCATCTCCTATTATAGTCGTTGTGATATTCGATAAAGCATATTTAAACTTCAAACTAACTAAAATATATGTTTTTTAGATGAAGGAATAATTGAGAAATGTCCGGGGATGAGCAATTTAAGGGTACTCAGCTTGACAGGTTATGGAATCAATGACACCAGTTTCCTCTCTGTTTTGGGTAAGCTCATTTTTTCAATAAATATGTGTAACAAAATAACTTGGACATTATACTATAAGTTGATTTAAAAAGTTTGGAAAAACGGGTAAATATAAATCACAAAAATGAGGAGTATATTTATCCCTTTTCCCAAAAAAGTTATATAAAGGGAGAAAGAACAAGAAGTGACTAAAAGCAATGGATAACAAATTTTCAAGTTTAGTAAGTAAAATGTTTCATTAAGTGGCATTCCACGCTGATTATCTCCTTCCCACCCCCAACATAAACTGTTTTTGAGATAATATTGTCTACTTACTCACCAAACACGAGAAAATAAGTACAAGAATCACTTAGTTAATGATGAATTTCATAAATCAATGCAGGTCTTGGTACACATACTGGACTGAAGAAATTAGAGGATCTTTACCTGTCTAGCAATGGATTCAATTCCACCATATTTTCATCTCTGAAGCATCTTCCATCTCTCAAGCATCTGGATCTAGAAAACAAGCTGATACTAGTTGGAAAAATTGAAATGAGTGGTTTGTTAAACTCCTTACAAAATTATCTTCCTGTATCAAATTAAAATTTTCTTCCTTTTCTATTTATTTTGATCTACTTTTCTAGGCTATAATTGCCTTGAGCAATTTGAAATTTCTGGATCTCCAGATGAACAATTTTGAGAGCTTTGTGACTACCAAAGGTACATGAGTTTTTTTCACATTTCTATACCATAAATAAACTATAACACTTCCACAGAAAGAAAAACCTAATCACAATGGACTAATTAAATTAAAATGCTCCAAAACATTACAGCTATTCCTTGTATCAACATAACTGCAGCTGCCCGAATGTACAAATTTGATATAAAGAACAATGCAGTCAATAAGAATTTGATGAGCACAATAATTGCCTATCTTATAAATAGACTCAGAAAATATATCCATTATTGTACA